CATTCAAATTTCATAAGTGACGTGCTTAGCAAAAGAATCTTATACTTGATAAATTTTGCGAAGAAGAATAAAAGAGTTCTTTAAATTTTTGTTCAGGTGCACAGTAGAAGAGAGGAGGTAAGTAAGAGAACAAGAGGTATTCATAGAAAGAAACCCAGAGATTAGGAGAACTTACCTGGGGCTTAAGAGAGCCCTTCTGTTCAGAAGTAGCTGAATGTCAAATAGCATGTTAACTTTGTATAATGCCTAGTAATAGAAGGACGTAGTTTGGAAAATATTTCTTTGAAAGTAAAAAGTTTTTCCTTTGAAGTTAGAAATATTCAGTACATCCAAAATATGTAATAGACTCAATGCATTACTGATTCAACTATTTGAATTTAAAGGATGAATCAAATGATATGGTTTTTGATATGTAGACCATAGCCTTTGTCTTCCAAAGGATATTTTAATCTAAATATTAAAAATAGCCTAGAGTCTTATTCAACCAGTTAATTCCAGCTGCTTTTTTGATAATGTATCATACATTATCCCTCTGATGGATGGGTGGCCAAATGCAGATAAAATTAGCTTTCCAGTCATTCATTTTAAATTGCTCTCAAGTTCTTTGGAAGCAAATTCCATTTTAGAAGAATATGCTTCAAGTCTCAGACAAAGAGATAATGGTCCTATATTTTATGCTATGAGCAATAACAGTTTAAGTCTTGTAGTTCAGAAATGTAGAAACTTATGTATTGAGTTGATGAAAATTAGGCCTTGATACAGCAATAAAACCAGCAACCTAAAGCTTCCAAGATTGATGATCAAAGCATAATATTTTCCTGTCAAGAATTAGGAAGAATGAAAGTCTATAAAGAAAATACATGATGCGCAGCTTTCCCCTCCTGTATATAAATGAAGAAGACAAAGCCTTATGAAATAATAGAAGCACAAACGCTAAAATTTACAAAAACAGCGCTGCCGCTGGAATACCATTACTTAGTAATGGTAGAAAGAGGAAAATCAAGTCAAATGTTAGAAAATAAAATAATTATAATGCTGAATCCACAAAAGTCAGGGCTCACTGAACTTACCACATAGAAGGGAAATCACTTTGTTAATATCAATAAACTACTCATAAGACCATATTTAACAATTTCTTTATTCAAGTCATTTTCCACAAATTGGTGCATTGAACTTCAAGTTGAAGTATACATTTTATAAAAAGTAATAATTTAGAATAATTTAAACACATTGCCCACGGTAAGTGGAAGTCTAAAGCTATTCCTCTTGTCACCACGATATCACCTCCAAATCTTTAGCTATGACGTAGTGAGGAAATGGAATTAGTGATCGCTCTGTGGGATGAAAATTTGGGGTCATCTTTTTATAGCTTCAGATTTTATGATCTGACCTTAATAGTAGCTGCAAGCTGTTTTGTTTGTATAGGAAAACCAGCAAGGCTCTAAGAAGTGATATCAGTAAGTAATCTATCAGCTCAGAGCAGAGTTGGCCTGTTGTTCTTGAAGGATTGGCCTCTGTATGGCGTGAATGCTCTTACTAAGGAAAGTCATGTACACAAATTGCACACATCATCAACGGCAAGCAAATTACTAAAGCCTAGGTTTCTCAGTCTAAACTTCCATGTCCTCTAGGAAATACTCAATATACTTTAAAAATATGTGAAATTCTCAATAAATTTGAGCATGAATGTAAACTAGGAATGGTGTCATGTCTGTCCAGACTTTGGGGGGGGGGGCATATTGCCCACTTTATTTCATCTGTAAGTAGGGTTTGATTCTTGATAAATGTGACCTGTAATGCCTCAGTGACCAAGACCTCATTTAATATTCTTCTGCCATTCTCTCAAATCTTCATATATTTTAATTAGTATCCTTGAGTTTTTTTTTTTTGTTCTGTATTGGGCCACACAAATTATACAGCAGGTCCTCTGTGTGTTCCCAGAACACATGTTAGGCCTCACACAACCACCCGTTACTCCAGTTTCAGGAGCTATGATATCCTCTGGCTACCATAGGTACATACACACATGTGTGCACATAAACTCATGCAGGCACACACACACACACACACACACACACACACACACACACATTTTTTAAAAACTTTCAAAACATGAAAATTAAAATGAACACAATTATAGTCTTCATCTTCTGGTTATTTCCATTCTAGTATTAAAGATTAGCTGTATATTTCAAAATTATTAACAGCTTCTTTAAACTGGGTGGTATAAAACCTAGAACTTCGCACTCAGCCTGTTTCTTTCATCCTATTTAGCCCACTCCATGTAGCTACTAACTCAAAGTCTTAGATTTTCTTAGCCAACTATCATTTCTGTACTTGCACTGAGTATTAGAAATAAGAAAAAATGTTTAATGTGATTTCATTTAGGCTATGAGTTGGAATTTCCAATATGGACACCATAGGAAACATTAAGCTTATAGACTACTGTTTTTTAAGTCAACTCTCTAGAGGGACACTAAGAGATGAATTCTGTGGAAATAATAATTATATGTAATAGAAATACAAGTTTTATCAAATGAAGAAAATGTTATTTCAAATGATGAAAATGACCCCTTATTATATTTCATTTCAAGTGTTAACAAATCAATACTATGCCAAGACATGGGCAAATTTTTTTCACTTGCAATGGTTATATTATGGTAAAACACAAAATTAAGGAAATGCCCAATTAGTTTGTTCATATGTATTCTAGATAGTCATTAAATCATCTCTTTTCCTGCTGGCATTTCACTGAGCTTCTTTTAGCTTGAAAATGTACATGTGATTTTTCTGATCTTCCTTTATTATCCATATTCTCAGTCATTAAAATAATGAGACTAAACAGGTGCATGCTATTGACTAGGTGATATAACTGATTTTTAGTATCTTAGGGATTTTTCTATCGGATAAGAACATACAAATACTTATGCTACATTACTAAATAAAATAGATGTGTATAGTAAGTGAGTACTTTGTCATCAATTCTTTTAAGGGAACAAGCTTCACTTAAAAGAAACAGCTGAACATATTTTATCTTTCACATACTTGAGTCAATGTGTAGTTTTAACTACACTTCCACGTTTATGTGTAAGCAAACACAATCTGAAAGGAAAGTGAAATAGAGTTACTATCTTGTTTGCTTTCATGAATAACAATGAAACAAGAGCTATACTTCAGTAGGATTTGTGTGTGGCATACTGTAGAGCTGTATTGATTACCAGCCTAGTACATCCTCGCATATAAAAGGAAGTGCTCTGGAAAATGACAGAAAGAGTGGGTAGGGCATTCAAGGCATCAGATTTGTGCAGACGGATCCGTCAATAGTTCAGTCCTTTGTCCCTTTGCTTTTCTGGCTCTGTTTATTTGATCAGTCTTGAATGATCTTGCATATTGACAAGTAGAGCTGAAATTGATATAAACAAGGTTATTCTTTAGTAAACTGGCACTGTGTGTCCTTGTGTGTCTACAGTGGAAAAACTAGAAATGATATCAAGAAGTATATCAAGGAGTTGAAAAAGAAAGAATGCCTAGCTACAGCATACATCATTTCCACAATTCAGGAATTGTCTATGGTGAAGCAGTTTAAAAAACAAGTCTTGCCTGTGATTCAAGTAAAGCCAATTTTTACTGCAAAACAGATTGGCAACAAATGGGTGTCATTACTATCTGAAAGCTATTCCATGACCTAGATGCAAAAAGTCGCAGGCCTGATTTCTTAGTGCACAGATGTCCATTTCACCAATGGCTAGCTCCCAAAACTGGGAAAGCAAGTGAATGCATAATATAATGAGTTTCAAGGTAATGTCTGAGCAGCCAGTCTCTAAATACCAATATCATATCATCTGTGTCCTACTGCACTGAGTACTTTCAGAGGTCTTGTAAAGGACATTTTTCACCTTGGACCCATGAATTTTAACATGCAATATTATCGTATTTGTGGACTAACTATACTTTGTTCTTTTCTGTCCATCCTAAAAAGATAAGTGTCATGCATAACAAATAACATAATGGAAAGAATTTTATCTTGTTATAAAGAGTTACTAGGCTTTATTAAAACAAACATGACTTTTCAAGCTTGGAATCATGTGGAATTCAAGTTAAAAAAAATACAGGAAGACTTCAAAATGTAAAAAACTCCCCAATGGTTTTAGATGAGATTTATTCAAAGATGTTGAAAGATCAGAGTGGAGGTAACACATTTGACAATTTTCTAAACTATAAAAATGAGACTTGTTAATGAGGAGGTTAAGCTATTTCCTAGTAGTCACATAATACCACATAACATCTGAAGTACAATTTCAAAATTATAACAGATAATATTTTACCACAGCTACACCAGTATCCAGCTTGATGCTCGTTCACATTTTCAGTGTTTAGACAATTTTAGTCTCAGTGAATATTTTCATCTGAATGTGTCAAATGCATCTTTGAAAGTAATGATCAATTTGAATCTGAACTTTCATTAATATTTTAGTGCCTTTTCCCAAACATTTGCAAAGGCTTTAAAGTTTGCTTCAAGTTTTATACCTCTAATAGAAGTGGTTTCTGTTTGTTTCAGTATTTATTTATTTTTTGGATGGTGTTGTGCTTGTTTGTGTGTCTGTGCACCATGTATGCAGTATGCATCAGAGGCCGGAAGAGGGCATCAGAGTCTCAGGAACTGTAGTTACAGAAGGTTATTAATCACCATGTGGATGCTGAGAATTGAACTGATGTCTTCTGGAAGAGCAGTAATTGCTTTTAGTTACTGATCCATTTCTTCAGTCCCTAGTTTCAGTTCTTAATAGTAACCCCGGGAAATACATAGTACATTGTGAATATTATAGCTTCTGTAGGTGACAAGACACTAAGGTTCATTTCCCAGTTTGCTAACTACCTCTTACAGTATGCCTTATTTTTCCCATGGGTGAGTTTATGTCAAATATTTTCTTGAAAACAAATAGCCATTAAAAGTCAAGTTGCTATATTTTGACCTTTTCCACTTTCTGTTCCTTTACCAGATGATGACTTTTTTCATGAACTACCAGAAACCTTTCCATCTGACCCACCTGAGCCATTGCCACACTTCCTCATTGAGCCTGAAGAAGCTTACATTGTGAAAAACAAGCCTGTGAACCTGTACTGTAAAGCAAGCCCTGCCACCCAGATCTACTTCAAGTGTAACAGTGAATGGGTTCATCAGAAGGACCACGTAGTAGATGAGAGGGTAGACGAAACCTCTGGTGAGTTTGGGATTGTGGTACAGGGTTCACTCACTCCACTACACAGTTTTCATAATTCTACTTCAGGTAGCAAAATTGAAAATGCAGTTGTTATACTTTGGCAAAAGGCTTTGAATTAGTTTTAATAATTAATGCTCTCATTCTATATAATGCAAAGGAAGCCATGAAGAATAAATGCTTTATTGTTGTTGGAATACATGACTATTCAGTAAGAAACAAAATGGGGAGCCAATAAAGTGAATTAATACTAAATGACCTAACAAATAATGTCTTTTAATTTTCCTTGAATGGTAGTCAAAGATAAATATCCTGAAATACAGGAGTAAGGTGTAAATGGGAATGTGTTGTGCTTGTTGACATCACTGCCCAATTTGATCCACATATAAATTTGATATTACTTTATGTAACATTTTAATTTAGTCTTTGAAAATTAACGATCAATGAAATGCTTAAGATGTAAATGTTTTATCTCATTCTTACTAATTAAAATGATTGCATAATCTCTTATATTTCTCTTAAATTAGAAGGATAAATACCATTCTTCTGTGGCTTAAGTGTTTTTCATCTCCAGTAGGGAGAATAGCATTTTAAATGTTCAGATCTAGATCCATGGTATTATGATCTTAGCATATATATTGTAGATGTTATGAGTTTATCATCTAACATTTCCAAGCTAAAAGGAAATTAAATGACTGAAATGCAAAACACTTTTTATCTTATCTTTTATAGTGTCTGTATATACATATGTGTGTGTGTTATACATATATGCATGTGTAACAGATTTAGGTATTCAGAAATGTAAATAATTCCCAGTTGTGCCTAAGTTTTGGCTTAAGATGAAAAAACTACAGGCCAGCACATGACCGGTACTCTTTTCAACGTCTCCAGAAATAATATCATTTGAAAAGATAATGATTTAGGATGGAGACGAGGCTATTGAGCAGACTGAGAGGAGGCTACTCTAAAGAATATGTGGAACATAGATTTACAGAAAAAAGAGTGTCAGGAAATCAAGCAGAAGCTCTATATACTTTTTGGTCATTATTTAATCAGTATGGTCACCGACTATAACCTGCTGACTATAGAAACAACCGCTATCTAATCATGTGCAAGACTACATCAGGAAAATGACTCACCTCTCCCTCTAATTGCTGAGAAAATAACTCTACCAGATGTTGAAAAATCCCAAGTGAATTGAATTTTATTGACTTCAGCTCATTTATTTGTAAAGATTTCAAATACAAAGGTTTTTAATTTGTGCACGGTATCACAATGGAAAAAGGAGAATCTCGATGTATTTAGCCCTGTTTTTAGTAATTAAAGAGGAAGATTATAAATAAAAGTAATGCTCTGATATTTGGCACTCCCAATAACTTCTCACTAAGTAGTAGAGAGAGAGAGCAAGAAAGTGAGAGAGACACTTATATAAATACTGTTTTTTCTATGTACTACACACAAAATTAATTTTATGTATATCAATTAAAAAATACCTTTCAAGTAACAAGAAGTTAAAAATGATTACACATTTTCAATCAAATTCAGGATATATACGTGAGTGTAAATGAATGATTTGTGAGTTCAGTACCTATGATCAGAGAGAGAATCAATTGCAATATAATTTTGTTGACTTTTATTTCCAACTGAAACATTACAAGAAAATTAGCAGCCATCTTCATGCTGGCATGCTAGTCACATATAAAGAGGAAAACAGAAACTAGTGAATCTTTCCAACATACTAACAAGTGTTTTAGATAACATAAATCGTTAAGCAACATAAAAGTTATAAAGAAAGCAAAAATTATCATTTATAACATATGACATAATTTTGTACACATGGAAAACAGGCAATTTCAAAGAAAACTTGCAAAGATTGAGAATTCACAAAATTAGCTGGTTAAAATAGTATAATTCACTAATTTTTCTATGTGGATATAAACAATTCAAATTCAAATGCAATGAGGCATGTCGTTTAGAATATCAGCGTAAAAAAGAAATTGTATAGTTATAAAGTTAAGAAATTTTAAGGATTTTTTTGTTTGTTGGTTGTTTTTTGTGATACTGGAGATAGACCCAAGACCTCATGCATGCGGAGCATAAGTTCCACCACTGAGATACACACCAACCTTTTAGAGAAAAATATTTCAAATTCTACTCATTTAAAAATTTGTGTGAACAGAATACAAACATGTGTATATATTGTTCTTGAATAAACAGCACAAATATTTTGAGGTACCTAGTATTAATAAGTGATTCTGTAAGATTACCATGATTTAAATTGAATAAATTCTAGAAAAAGCTGGGTGAAATCTGAAATAGAAACACAATCAAAGAATCTTTATAAACATAAAATAAAAGACATTGAAAGGGACTTGATATTCCCAGAAGACAAAACACAGTTTAACAGTTCTAATTTGATAAAAATAAACTACTAAAATACCTAAGGACTATCCGAATGTGATAATGACTGTTTTAACAAGTTAAAAATTAGTTGATCAATACAGGAATTGGAAAAATAAGGAAGGAGGTTGGAAGGGAAAGAAATCAATATACAAAACATGTATTCTATTTCATTATTTAGAATAAGTTCTAGATTTTAGAGCTCAACATCCCCATCACCACCATCATCGTCACCATCATCATCACCATCACCATCATCATCCCCATCACCACCATCATCGTCACCATCATCATCACTATCATCATTTTGGCCATTTTTGGTTGGTTACTAGGGGACAGCCAAGCCATTTACATTAAAACACAAAATTAAAATGTCTTCTAGGAAATTGTTATGAAATTGAATTTAAAAGTATCACAAACAGAGCCAAAGAGAACATTTTTAAAAACTAACTTTTATTAACACTGATGAATATAAGTCAAAGAGATAACTTAGTTACTATGTAAATATCTTTTAAATTACATTTAAGAAAATGCACCAGCACCCAAAAGAAAATGGACCAGTGTTTGATCATGGAAAATATGCAAATTATAAGTAAGCATCTAAGGAGATGTTATCTAGTTGAAAACATGGATTAAAGACTTTTTTACTGGAGCACAAATTGGAATGCCCGTTTGAAGATAGCACCCATATTGAAATACATACACACTGTTCTTGTAAGTAAACGAGTCCTGGGGCTTCCTACCAGTAAAATTCTGAATGTCACAAGGATTTGCTGTTTGCCAGCTGCCCACCATGAGCCCTTGATTATGTTCATTCTTTGAATGAATTACTATAATGTCTTTTTAAAGTGAAGTTTTTCCACATGCGGAGCTGTGCAAAATTCTCTCAGATAAAATTGAACACAAAATCCAAAGCACAGAACACAGTACTCCTGGGGTAGGTATTACCATTGGAAAAAGAAGATACACATGTTTCTTTATAGAAAGTGAAATCTTCTGCATAAATGTACACCAAGAAGTTGACAGCTCAGAATCTAGGATGATGAGGTGAGACTTTTATTGTTTGACTTTTTTCAGTCCCTGTGAATATATTATTTTCATCATAAATAATGAAACCGTCTAAACAGCCCACGCCACTTTATTGCATCTCCTTCCCGCTGTCATAAATCTTCACGCTGGACAAACTGTGTTGAAATGTCTTGGTCTCTTACTACAGTTCTTTGCTTTCCTCCAATACCAAAAACTCCAAGAGTGAAACGGGAATAGAATTCTTTGTGGGTTTTCTTTCTTTGCCTGTGTGTTTCCATAAAAACTGATTCATCTGCAACTTGAGTTCTCAGCTTTAAACTTTAGCAATCTAATATTATTTTGAGGGAATCATGTTAGGTTTTTATAGCAACAAATATTAAAATATACTGTATTGAAATACATTTTAAAACAAGGAAATTTTCTTAGTATCTTTAAAATATTGTTCTTAAATGACAGAACAGACTAAAGACATTGCAAGTACATTCGTTTTTATAGATATCTCCTTAGAATACCATATGAAAATATATTTAGTACTGATCATATTTCCTGGTAACTAAGAATAATTAATTGCATTTAACAAAGTCTTTAGCAAAGATATTTCACATTGAAAAATTAATAAACATTTTTAAAAGTCTCTTTTTAATTTTTAATTTTACAAGTTAGCACCACTTCCCCCTCCCTACCCTTCTCCAGCCCTCCCATCTCCCCCCATTCTGCTCACCAGCCACTTATTAGGGGACATAAGGCCTCTTTTGGGGAATCAACAATGTCTGGTATACCAAGTTGAGACAGAAACAAGCCACTCCTTCCTCCTTCTCTTGTATCAAGGCTGAGCAATATATCCCATCATAGGGAATGGGCTCAAAAAAACCACTTCATGCACCCAGTGTGTGTCCTGGTAACACTGCCAGGCCCCTCCCCCATCGATCAAGCCACATAACTGTCACCCACATTGAGAGGGCCTAGTTTGGTCCCTTGTAGGTTCCCCAGCTTTCAGGCCAGAGTTCATGAGCTCCCGTGAGCTTCGGTCAGCTGTCTCTGTGGTTTTTGCAATAATGATCTTGACCCCACCTCCTTGCTCATATGATCCTTTCTCCCTCTATTCAACTCAGTGCCTTATACCTGCAATCCAGCACTCAGTGCCTTATACCCGAAATACAGCACCAACATGGCTTATATCTGTAATCCAGCATTCAGAAGGCTGAGGCGAGATTTCAATAAGTTCAAAGCAAGTCTGGTATACCTTGTGAGTTCAAGGTCACCCTAGGGTATAGCATAAGACACAATTTCAAACAACATCAAACAAAGTATCTCTTAAATTCTGAAATCATTCTGTGGTCCCTCATCCTCTAAAGTGTGAAGCAAATGATTATTTTCACCCACTTAGAAAAGTCATATCATTGGTCAAAATGAAGTGTACTGATTAAATACCCTCACTATACTTGCTGCTGTTTGCTATTCATCATTTAAACCAAGTTACATTACTTTAATTTGACTAAGAAATCAAAGGGAAGGCAAATGTAGTTTATAGTATTCAATATTCAGAAATTCTTGGCCTGGTGATACAATGATAT